TCTTGTCTTATGCAGGCTGTGGAGAAGGTTCTGGCAGGATCTATCAGGAGAGAAATGGCACTAGAAGAGTTTTGTGCTAAGCAGGCTTCTGAAATAACCCAGTTGAACCGCTTGGTAGGTTTCTTCTTGCAAAATAACAGAGTCATTTTGCTAGCAGCCAGCTGTAGCCATTACAAGTGTAGTTGAAACCGTTATTTGGCTATCATTTACAGGTGCAGCAGTACAAACATGAGAGGGAGTGCAATGCCATAATAGCACAGACAAGGGAAGATAAAATTCTTCGCCTAGAGAGCCTTATGGATGGTGTTTTGCCTACTGAGGAATTCATGGAGGAAGAGCTGACCTCTCTCACACATGAGCATAAGGTATGTATGTTCTTTTATTAATATTCCATTTTTACATTTCTGTACAATATATCTTACCTATCATGTACAGCTTCTGAAGGAGAAATATGAGAACCATCCTGAAATTTTAAGAACAAAGATCGAGTTGAAAAGAGTTCAAGATGAACTGGAACGCTTGCGAAATTTTTATGAGTTGGGTGAGAGGGAAGTTTTTTTGGAAGAAATTCAGGATCTAAGAAGTCAACTGCAGTACTATGTAGACTCTTCATCAACATCAACTCGAAGACGAAATCCTCTGCTGCAGTTGATGTATTCATGTGAGCCCAATCTAGCTCCACCTCTTACTGTAATCCCGGAGACAACCGAGGGGAGTGCTGAAGAGAAACTTGAACTGGAAAGAAGTCGCTGGACTGAGGCAGAGGGCAAATGGATTTCTCTAGCAGAGGAATTAAGAGCTGAACTTGAAGCTAGCAGGTCTCTAGCTGAAAGGATGAAGCATGAACTAGATACAGAAAAGAAATGTGCAGAGGAGTTGAAGGAAGCAATGCAAATGGCTATGGTGGGATATGCACGAATGCTTGAACAGTATGCAGATCTTGAGGAGAAACATATTGAACTGCTTGCAAGGCATAGAAAGATTCAAGAAGGAATTGATGATGTTAAAAGAGCAGCTGCTAGAGCAGGCATCAGGGGTGCTGAATCAAGGTTCATAAATGCTCTTGCTGCAGAAATTTCTGCACTAAAGGTGGAAAGAGAAAAGGAGAGGCGCTACCTCAGGGATGAAAATAAAGGACTTCAGGCTCAATTGAGAGACACAGCTGAAGCAGTACAGGCTGCAGGCGAGTTGCTTGTCCGGCTAAAAGAAGCAGAAGAAGCTGTACAGACTGCTGAGGTATGTTTGGAAGTTGTTCTTTATTGGCAATGCTTTTTTTGCTTTGTTCACATTTATTTTTGTATATCATCGTTCATGCATCCTCATTACAGGATTGAACATTAAAAGGGCCTTGGTATGGCTTTCTTTGTCTAATATATGGCTTCACAGTAAAACAACATTTAGTGGATCTGGCCTGTTTGGTGTTATGTGTGTTAAGGTCAATATAAACTATAAAAAAGCAGATGTTAGATTCCTTGACAGAGGCACTTCAAGTGGGCTGAATCTGAAAATAGAACTTCCTTTCATGGAAGTATTAGTTGAGTTTTGCTCTCTTATTCTTAGGTTTTTAGAAATCAGGTCTTAGTTTAGTTAGCCAGCACGATTTAAAAATTTTTGGCAATAGACAATAAAATTTTTATGATATAGTTCTAGTCACTTAAACTTATCAAGTGCTAGATAATGTTTGATTAAAATTTTATGGTTGAAGTGCAAAAAGGATGTAGGAGATGTAATCTCTTTTATTTTTGTTGGGTCTTTAATAGATTGTCACTTAAGATCAGTTGTTGCTACAAGCGGAGTCCAGTCATAGAATTGCAAGAGAAATGTGATATCCAACCTTAGATGAAGTATATTTAGTATCATTTTCCTCACATCTTTTTCATTTGGGTTTTCTAACAATTGCAGAAGCGAGCCAGCAAAGCAGAGAAGGAAACTGAGAAGGCTTACAACCAGATTGATAAATTAAAGAAAAGACATCAAAGTGAGATTAACACTCTTAATGAGCTCCTTGCAGAGTCTCGGCTGCCAAAAGAAGCAATACAACCTGCTTCAAATGATTTTGACATGGCCAAATATGATGTAGATGAACCCCTCAATTCCAATGATCAGCAATGGAGAAAAGAGTTTGAGCCATTCTATAATGGTGATGATGGTGAGTTATCAAAACTTGCAGAACCCTCTTCTTGGTTCTCTGGTTATGATCGTTGTAACATATAGGGAAGTTTAGCAGCAGAATAGTGTATGTATTACTTTCTTCTTACACGAGCAACGCCCATTTGTTTAAGAATACATCTGTGATACATAAATAACATTGCTATCTATACTGCTTCTCTACCCGCCAAATTGTGTAGAAAGTTTGAAGATTGATGTAATTTTTGTATGTGAATTGGAAGTTTGTTGTGTTCCGGTATAATGGATATGGTAACAATAATGTTGTGAAGCTTAGATCCATTTTCGTGTTAGGTTCTGATGTCAAGAGAGTAGGGGGCAACTTCAAGTTTATCAAAATGGGTGTGTTGGAAAGGGAAGCAAAAGAAGACAGCCCACAAGTACTTGGTTTTCATGGAGACCATTGAACAAGAATCTCGTGGGCTTGTCTTCTCTGAATCTATCCCCACCTGTGGTCCAATTTATACACTTTATAATCACGCTCAAGGTTAGGGCTAGAAAGAAAACAAGTATGCTGGAGGACATTTCCTAGGTAGAGACTGTCCCCATTGGATCTTAGAAGCTGTTATTTATTTATTTTTCTGAGAATTATCCTTAAAATTTTGATTGGTGGGGAGTATTTGATGGTTATGTTTGGTGAAGCAAAATTATAGTTTTTTAATTTTTTTTCAAGCAATCAAAATTCAATACTAGCCCATTTAGGTGCAGAATAAAGGGAGTTTAATAACACAAGTAATGAAGAGCAAAGTGAGGTCCAGATTGATGGAATTTGTTTAAATTTTTGTTGGGGTTTATTGATGATGATTATATATAGGGTCTCTCTCTGTCTCCTGGGGCTGCGTGTCATGATTTCTCCTCTTCAAGTCTCTTTCTTGCCCCTCTCTAAAAATGGGTGATATTAACACAGACCTGCCTTCGTTGCTCAACCGACTTTCTCAATGATACAGTTAGGTTTAAACACCACTTTTTGATCAAAAATGAATTCTGGCTATAAATTTATTTTATTTATTTTATTTTTTGGTGCCCATCAAATATGAGATGTCTATTTTATATAAGTTAAAGGTGTCGGATTTGAATAAAGACAAGACACAGAAGAGATAATCGGATCTCTCTCTTGTTAATTAAAAGCAATTATTAGACAAATAAATCACTTTCAGCTGGTAGGGTTGATAGATGAGTAGAGTGATTAGAGTGATCCTATGAGATTTGTTTTGGGGTATCACTCACTGTCAATAATGCAGGCAACTAACCAACTACTAATTCTTTAAGGAGGTTAAAGAAGGTTCACTCCCTATTTGTTGCTACATAATTACAACCCAGGCTTGACGAAATGCATCAGCTAGTTAACCTTCATATAGGGTTTTCTTTTCTTCAAGAAAAAAAAAATTTTAATGAAAAAATTTTGAAATATAATTGCCCAACCTTTTTGCACAGTAAATTGTACCTTGGATTGGTGGTTAAGGTTGTTTGCTTCAATTCCACATCTCAAGTCATTGTTCTTGTCCCTTCTCCCTTGAACCATCTCAATCAGACAATCACCAATGCTTATTTTCTCACCCATCACCTATTAATGTGCTTTGTCAGTATGAGGAAGATGGTCCATATATTGCCTTATTGACTTAAATTTGGTTTCTTTAGTAAACTATAGAAGTCATTTTTTTGGAAATCTCTTAGTTTGGGTATTGATAAAATGTTTCTGACTGGATCCATTTGGTTAAAGAAATAAAAATAAAAATAGTAAATAAATAAATAAAAAGCAAGTGCCAACTTCTTAACAGATTGTAGTTTCAATCTCTATGGTATTCCTAACTTGCATTTAATGTCTACAAATGCCCAGATGAATTCAGTTATTAGATCAATCACAACAGAAGGGGAAAAGGAAGACATTTCTTTTCTGGATGTTTGGTACATAGTTTTTCTAAAGGCATATTGCCAACCTGGGCTTCTGAATCTCCAGCTAAAGAAAGGAGGAGAAAATTGAAATGAGTTTGGATTCCAGCTCAAAACACAAAATCATTCCTAATCGTCAGTTGGACTTAAGAGAAGATTTGTCTCCATTTAACAGCTGGTTACAAGTAAGGTTTGGTTTTTTATTTTCCTCACTGCTTCCGCAATATTAGGTGACATAATGTCAATTTTAATTAAGGACCCTCATTGCTAAATTTGAAAGCAACTTTGATTATATACTATTTTTCTGTTTGGATGCCAGGAAAGTAAGAGGAAAAGTAAAATTTCTTTCTTTTCCCCCTATACTCTTTAACAACCAAAATAAAAGGAAGCATCTTAGCCAAAGTCATTGAGAGGATAGTAATCAAGAAAGAGAAAAAGAAGGGAAAGCAAGAAACACATTTTAAATATGGATTGAATGATGATGTTTCTCAATTTATAAGACAGAAGACATGGTTGAAACAAAAGTATACGTAAAAATTCTTCTGTCCAATCAACTCCTTTTTCTTAATTTACCCATATGCTACATACATAGAAACCATGGACGAAACAACATTGACTGAAGCTAGTTCTAGAATGTCACAAAAGCTGAATTCTTGTAATAATAAGAACCCTAAAGAATGAGTTGCAGAAAACAAGAAAAAGCAGGGAAAAAGAGGGTAAAAATTAGGAAATCTTTCTCTCCAAGCAAACAGGAATTGCTGGTCTCTATACATAGAATAGAAGCCTCTCTCCTTGGCGGGCCTCAACGGAATGAATACATGACTTGTTGTTCAGTGGTAGTTACAGCTCAATTTTCACTTGTCCTGCAGTCATTGAGCCTGTACCAGAGAGCATATGTGTTTATTAGACATTAAACTCAGTACCAATGAATTTTGTATCTCCAGATTCTTGATTAACTCTGCTTACCATGAAAGTTCTGCGGTTGATTCTGGCCAAACCCCATCTGGACTACACCCTGGAGATCATCCTCCCAAAATGAAGGAACCTGAGAACATATATTCAGGTCTAATTAAGATACTGTACATGAGAAAATATGCCAAAATGGGAACGACATAGGACAGGTTATCTTTTATTACCAAAGGAGCAGTATCACAAAAGCCATCCATGGAAGTGAACTGCATACTTGAGTTTCGAGGCGCTGATGGATTTAGTAGGTTCAGTGAGAATTGTCTCTCCATGTTATTAGGTATTCCACCCTGCAGACTTAGCCCTTGCTGGGGCTGATACCCAAAAGGGAATGCTGGTGCTGAAGAATCTACTGGGTAAATGGTGTGTGGTAAAGATCCAGGAGACTGAAAAATCTGACGCAAGATGAAAATTTGATGCAAGAATGTCAATTGAAGATTCAGACAACTTTGCTCAACATAGAACAATGTCACAGGGGAACTTACATCCTTTGACAGAAGGGCTTCCATGTTAAAGTCCATTCTAGGATTTACCGTGGCTAACTTCATAGATAGAAACTGTAGAAAGAGAGAATCAATGTCAATCATAACATGAACTACAATTCATGATGAGTACTGCTATATTCTAGACAATTTGATTTTACCTCGACTTGACGCTGCAAAGACTGCACATAGTTAATAATTTCATCAAGCATAACTGCTTTCCCAATCACCTGCAACAAATATCATTCCTCATTTAGAATTCCCTCAAAAGGCTGGCAGGATGCAGAAATTTAGATGGCAGATCTGCCTACCTTATTGCAACCAGGAACAAGATCTTGGAGAAACTTCATCCTCTCACTTATTCTCTCCCTCCGTACCTAGACAAGGAAAAAACATGACAAAACATACATATTAATACAGCCCCAATTATGGGCAATGAACAGATATGGTTTAGTGCTTCTGGGGTAACGAACTCTTTCAGCAAGACTATGGCTGTCAGTAGCTTGACCTCTTCTGGCTCTGACGTGGATATAGTCCTTTGGTGGCTCCGGTGGCTTTGGATTCTCCTTAGCTTGCTTCTGATTCTCATCATTTTCCTTTGCATTCCCGGAAGCAGCAGCTTCATCTTGCTTGTTTCTCTTTGCAGTGGATTCATCATTCTCTGCTGCAACCTGAAATGAAAATCTACATTAATTTCCCAAAGATTATGGCCCTTCTTTAGAGTTTCAGAACAAGATTACATCACCTTGGCATCACTAGCAGATGGATATGGGGTTTCCTTCGCCTTTCCCCTCGGTGTTGATTTCCTTTTCCTGGCATTAGTACCATTGTTGCTTTTGGTGATTGAGCCCCCACCTGGGATCTGCTCAGATACAGAACATTCCTCCTTGGAATCACCAATTTCTGCATTCTCTAACCTACCAGAATTCCCATTCTGCGGTGAGTTCTTGTTGCTTTGGTGAGATCCAGCAACCTTAATAGATTGGTTGCTTGTAACTCTTGAAAGCATACCAGATTCCATTCTGGGAGTGGGAACTAATCTTTGAGGCAATTCGGTACTGCCAAAACAGGAAAATCTTGTAGCTCTCTCTACAAATCCAGGGTCTACAGAGAGTGGTGCCAAGTTTGTCAATTCATTCCCCAAAAGTGCTAAATTCCCTCGGATCTGCGAATCCACCATGGAGAGATTAAGCATACGGGGTGAACTCAAAGGAGTACTGTAACCAGAATTGCTAGTACTTTTTGATTTCACACAATAGTTGGGTGAAATTTCGCCAGAACTGCTTCTTAAGTTTCCTAATCTTGTAATCACTTCTCTCACATTATCAGAACTACCGGCAGCATTAGACGCTGCTGGAGAAGACCCCATGGAACTCAATGCAGACTCAAAGGGATCGCTGTGATCCATGGAGTTCTCCCAATTGGGATTGAGGAAGTAACTGGGTACTTGCCCTGTTGCTGAATTGAGGTCGTTGGCCTGAATTTCCATGCCAAAAGTGCAAGAATTCCAGGTGAGTTGTGTTCCCTCGTTCATGAACACCTCTTTCTCCATGGATTGAGAGAAAAAAAAAAACCCAGATGGCAAATTGCAGTGAAAAACAAAAGAATGAAGGAAGAAAAGCAATAAACTTTGTTGGGAAAATGGAATACAGAATACAATGAGGAGTAGAAAGAGGAAAGAAGTAAAGAAAAGAGGAATGAATGAGAATGCAATATTGGTTCTGGTTTTGTGTGGGAAGGCAAAATGGAGAAAAAGAGTCTGAGTCTATCTAAGGGGGGGATGCAGAGAAAACAACAGGCGTAGAAAATGGAGATGTTGGCAGCAAAGATAAAGAATATTAAATGTCTGTTTGACCTATCACTGTAAGTATGTATATATATATATATATATTGATAAAACCTATAACCGTAAGTATTAAAAAATTTGTTAAAATGAAATTTTACGGTCGCTTTACATGAAATAAATTAATGCAAATTAATCCACCCGTCTTATCATTATTAATGTTTTTTTATTTTATTTACATGAAAATAATTATTTCTCATCCTTTATTTTATTCTGCTAATATGTTATGCTATTCGAAATTAAAATCTTTTATTTTTAATGAAAGGAAATGATCACTTAGTAATTAGCCATCATTATTATTTTTTATTTTTTATTTTTGATATGAACTATTCGGTATCTAAAAATTCACTGGATTACTGATTAATACGAATTCAAGTCAAGTAAAACTCAACAGACAACAAAACTCTTTCTCCTGAATTTTAATAGAATTGTATTCTTAGAACTTAAAACCAAAATATCTTATTAAACTGAAAAAGTTTCCTATCAACCCAACCCGAAAATACATCCAATATTTTTATGGTTTTATTACTTGCCTTTTACGCTACTACCTTTGGATAGTTACAGGCTTTTCGAATTAATTTTTTATATAATATATAATTAATGGTTAATAATTGATAATTAACATTTAATAATTAATTATAATAATTTATAATATAAAATATTTAATTAATTTAATAAAAATTAATAATTATTTCATTATTATTTATTATATAAAATTATTTAATCAAATTTTATAAAAAAATTATAAGACAATTAAATCCAACTAAAAGTAATAATACTGAAATGACTGTTGACTACTTTCGGTCTCATCTTGATTAATTGCATTTGAGATTGCATTTTTCAAACGTTTCTCATGCAATATAATAGTAATAAAAATGTTTAGTTTTTTTCATAGTTGAATTAATTTTTATTAATATTTTATATATTATTAATAATTAATTATTGTTATTATTATAAAAATGTATAATATCTTTTAAAAATAATTATCAAACATTAATATAATTTTCATAATAACACTTCTAAAAAAATATGCACAATAACATCACCACACAGCAATATGCAATCCCAAAAGCAGCGATGAAGCTATGATGTATCTCCTTAACCGAGAGAACTAATCATAGTTATTCTAATTAATTATAGTCTCTTTTTTTTTCTGATCATAATAGTATTAGTGTTTTGGAAATAAAAGATGTGTTTATCTAACTTATATTTTAAATTTATATTAATTATATTTTTTATTATAAATTTATATAAAAATAAAAATTGACTTTAATTTTATTTATTATTCAATTAAAATGGTCCAAGTGACTTTAGTTATAAAATATTATCTATTTTTTTTATTTTTTTATAAAAAAATTATTGTAACAAGTTACAATTAATAAAGGCTTAGGGCACAAATTAGAAAATGTTTGGTGTCAAACTACTTGTATGAAAGAGAATTGAAGGTTTTATAATTTTTTTTTCTAACAAGTGTTCTTAAGATACAAATTACAAATGTAAAACAATTATTATATTTTTTATATAAATTAATGTTAAATACAAAAATTGAGATTAGTTTTACCACCAACACATATATAGATCATGTTAATAAAATAGTTAATTAAACAAAGGTCAACTATTATTTCCTTACTATCAATTAATGTACAAATATATAATAATTAGTATCTGAATCCATATATATATATATATATATTTGGTTAGTAAAGAGAAGGTTAAGTTGTCTCTTTTATTGATATATGAAAAAAGGTGAGCATAGTTATAACTATCGGCAATAATGTTGTAACTACAAAAAAATGTAAAATATTGTACTTTAAAAAATATTGATTTTATTTAATTTAATTGATAAAAATAAATAATAATTGTAACTATTAATTAATAATTAATAAAAATAATTAATATTTCTTAATTAATAAACTAATAAATTTAGACATTATTTTTAAAAAAAACTAAAGTTTTAATAACCTTAACAATATTAACCATCACAATTACTACACCCAAAAAAGGAAAAACAATTTTGAGATAATTTTTTTATATTATCTTTTGATATAACTTGATGTGTCAATTAAATGATTGATTGTTTTTACTCATATGAAACTTATAATATTAAATGTATCAATTTATTTAATAACATATAAACATTATATTAAAAAATATAAAAAATTATTTCTATAATTAAAAAATATAAAAAAAAATTATTTCCATAACACCACCTAAAAAGAAGTCCGTTTCTTTTATTGCTTGTAGTCTCTTTTAATGTGTTGTGTTAGTATTTATTGAGTTATTGAAAATGTTCACTCAATTATCATTCACGTGAATATTAATTAAAATTTCCATGCATTATGAATATTGTGAAAACATGAATCATTATCTTAAAACCATTCTATGATTTTTTAAAAAAAATATTAATTCCTTTTAATTTGATTATAAACAACAATTAGTAATTAATAAAATAATCAATTTTAATTATTTAATACATTAACATTATTTTTAAATATTATAATTAATTATTAAAAAATTACTTATTAATAAAACATCAATTTAATTAAATATACTTTTAAGTGATTATATAAAGATAATTTTTTTTATTATTTTTTATATAATTTTTATGTCTCATTAAATAAATAAATACATATGTTATTAAATTAATGAATACATTTAATATCACATATTTTAAATGAATAAAAAAATTAATCATTTAAATAACATATAAAATTATATAAAAAAATAAAATAAAATATTTTCTAAAACATTTTCCACATTTCAATGGGTAGCTTTTAACATATTTATCTGTCGTGCTTACCACATCCGAATTTTGGGTTTTATTTAATGCTGCCGTTGTTGTCCTTTTGATGGTAGGCATCAATGATTAATTAACAGAGAAAAAGGGTCGGACTGAATTTTTAAAATCCAATATCAGAAAACTTTTGAACTACTCGTACTAATTAATATACTAATTTTATGTTAATTTTATGTTAATTTTTAAATGTCCTTAATTGAACATCCAAAAAAATGATTGTCCTCAATCTATTAGTAGGAAATAGTACGTTGTCGTGGGAGTTTTAAAATTAATGTCGGCCGCGTTAGGTCCAATTTAACGTGACCTTCAATCATGTAGGCACACTTACAGATGCTGTTTGACCTTAATTTTATTCCACTTCGACACGTGTTTGTTTCTCGTTGCCCAAGGGAACGAATTTCGAGGTAGGACCACAAATAAAATAGCCCAATAACTAACCGTTGCAGGTAATTCATTTTTTCTAAGTGTTGTTTATGAAAGTAAACGACAGACACCTAAGTACACCTTTCAAATTAGAGAAGGAATAGATCTGTTTTTTAAAAAAAATATAAAGATAAATTAATTTTTTCAATTATAAATAAAAATAAATTATATTTTTTAATGTGTGGTGTCAATTTTTTATTAAAATTTATTTATGTGATAAATAAAATTTTAATGTTACGTATTAATAAATAAATGATTTGTCGATTTATGGTTTAAATAAATAATTTAATTTAATATTTTTTGAGAGACAAATCTGCCCCTACCTGTGTGTGAGGGATAGATATGGGGTTTTGCCAAAGGAAACTGAATTAGGATACGAAAACAGTGTTACGAAAGCTTAGATTCTACTGGTCTCTCGAATTTAAATTATTAGATGATAAGAATGGTCCTTTTCGGTTAAGTGGCATTAAATTTTAAGTTAAAGTTGTTCACTTTCATAAATGGCGTGTTCGAGTTTCATAAATTTATTTTTCTTTTTTCTCATATATACCTGAAAATAACATCAAAATTGTTAAAAAAAATTATTAAATGATAGGGATTTCTTTAACATTAAGAGTTGTTTTTTTATTTAAGAGTTTTTTTAATATGTATTTTTAAGTTATATGCTAAAAATATGATAAAGGGTTTGTTTAATTTATATTTTAAAAGTATATTTTAAAATTTATTAATTAAAGTATTTTAAATTAATTTTATACAAATTTTTATACTAAATTTATATATATTTATAAATTTTAAGTATACATATTATATTATATTTTTACATTTTATATTTTATTTGATTTAAATTTTGTATAAAAATTTATGTAAAATTAATCATAAATATTACAATTAATGATGCTTAACCTATATCTTTAAAATATATGTTGGAAAATCCTTATAATAAATATACATTTTTACCATAAATTTAATTTTAAAAGTAAAAAATGAATTTTAATTTATCAATTATTCAATTAAATGTTTTTATTTAACACTAATATTAAAATTAATGTCAATTTTTATTTTTTTATATATTTAGAATAAAAAAAAATCCTTAGCTTATACTTTAAACTTTTTATTTTATAATTTATATTGTACAGTCTTAATTGTAAAATATCAACTAATTAAAATATTTAAATTACAAAAAACATCAAACAGGAAGCTATATATTAGTTTACAACAGTTAATTTAAAAGTAGGCCAGAAGGGGAGGGTAAATGTCTTTCTATATAGCAGATATATTTATGCTGAAATTGCAAATCTCATTCCCAACTAATGTTTTAAATCCAGAACACCGCTTTGTCCCGCCATGTGACTAAAATAAACAAATTAAGAAACGGAGAACATATCGCATTCCCTTACGTGGTTGTAGTGGTAGTTGTGTTTCTTAAAAGTGAGAAGCAGATGGAATGCACTTTGGTCAGCAAGTCAAATTTCAAATTCATTTTTTTTGAACAGATACTAATCTAATATTATATTTTTTTGGTAAAAAAAAAAACAAAAAAAAAAACAAAGGACATATCAGTCGAGGGAACAGACAAGCCTTTTGGTTACTTGGAAGCAACCTTCACTACATTTCAGTGGTAAAAAAAAAAACAAAAAAAAAAACAAAGGACATATCAGTCGAGGGAACAGACAAGCCTTTTGGTTACTTGGAAGCAACCTTCACTACATTTCAGTACTCCATGGTTGTTATTTTCATTTTGAAATCAATATTATATGAGTTCCTTGTTTCTGAATTGAAACTACAAAATAAAAATTATTAAATAGAGAAGTAATTCTTAGGTCAAGGAAATTTACCTCTTATAAATTGTGCAATCCCAATTACGTAATACTTTTTTGAAATATTGTAAAGGTATAGCTTATCTCCATCCCTGCTAGTTCTTCCAAAAAAAAAATAGTTGCTAAAATTTTGTAGCAATGATATAAACACAATATCATATAAAATTATAATTTTACAATTATAATATGACATTAAATAAATATAATGTAAATAATATTCACAAGTGAATTTTTAAATAAAAATTTAAATGTATAATAATATATCATATTATAAATTTATAATAATATATCATACCGTAAAATTAGATTATTTTTAAAACTTTTATGAAATGCAAGAAAACTAAAGAAAAAGAAAATGCGAAAGCAGTATAAAACGGTATGGAAAAACTGAGAAAGAGTGCATATTCGACCCAAAACAGCCAGGTTCACATTGCGTTTCGGGCCTTTCGGCCTTAACTCTTAGTTGAGTTTGGGTCCCTAAATGGGTTGGTAATTTGTATTTGGTATTCTTCCACGCAGGGTCCAATATCCAGGACCCTAGTTAGTTGGATTGCACCCCAGAAACTAGGAACTGCAAGTAGGCTTAGTAGATACTCCCAAGTCTCAGACTTGTGCCGTGGAATCAGCCATTCATGCCAAGTTTATCAAAGGGTCACTTTCGCCTTTCCCTTTTATCCAAAATAACCTTCTCATTTCGATTGCTCAATGCGGAGTCTTGTCAACGCTCACCAACTGTTCGATGAAATGCCCCACAGGAACGTTTGTCTCGTGGTCTGCAATGAGCACGTTGTCTCGTGTTGGAATGGTGAAACCCAGTGAATGTTATTCACGTTGCTTCATGTTCATTGAATCATAAGAATATTGTAACTCTGGAAATGAGCAGAGCGTGCAATAAATCCGGATATAAAAAGGAAAAGAATGAACTTGGGACTTGGGAGCCTTGGGCCATAGTTACTGATTTCTAAAAATTATATGAGATGAAATTATTTGGTCTTAACCCAATAATTGCACCATAATATTAGAAGCCGAACATCTATTTTTTTTTAAAAGGTTATATTAAATTAATACAAATAACTTATTAATTTTTATATTATATATTAAATTTAATAAATTTTTGATTTTATTGATTTAATTTTACAATTTTAATTTTACCTATTAAAAACTATTTTACTTAAACTTTCGATTTTAACAACTTTGCTTGGTAGTATAAATCAATTACTTTACCTAAATTACAATTTACAAATTATATAAAACCATACTGAATTAACTGTGTGTGATGCTCCAAATCTCAAGTTTAATGATTTCTCACATTGCAGTGATGTGTTATGATCTTACATGATGAATCAACCATTTGAGGTTGAACTGTTTGAGAACCGCATTGGCAATAACTTAAAGAGTTGTCTCGAGTTATTTCAATCTGTATATGTAAAATTTTCAACTCCTGTTGTAATGCAAAGCTCTACTGCCCTCTTCTTGGTAGTATTTGTTTAGTCAGTTGCCTCTTCAAACACTCAAATTATTTGGTGGAAAAGAAACTGCTAGATGGAGTCACAGAGGGACAGCCAAAATATTAAGGGCTCATCATATTTAATGATTAAGTTATACAATTTAGGACTCATTTGATATA